CTTGCCATTGACCAGAACCCCCAGGTCCCTCTCTGCAGGGCTGCTCACCAGGGCTGTCTATATATGTACATATAGACAGTAGCATTATAGGGTATTACATATTTACAAAATGTTATTTGCCATTTCTCAGCCTTTCTGTGACAAAGATATGACAAACTCACTCCCAAAACAGCTTTTGCATGGCACCCCAAAATCACCAAGTCTGTGACAGTTTAGTTCAGCTCAGAATGAGGAGAACAAATCCCAGCGCTCACAAAAAAACCTCCATGCCAACAGAATCTCACCACTTGCTTTTTGGCAGCAGAGCAGGGCTGAAAAAGCCTAATTAGTCATTGCCATAGAAGTACTTGTGCAAGCATATTTTTTCCATTTGTTACTAGTTCTCTATAGTGGTTTCCTTAATTGGGGCTTAAGCGTAAACACCTTTCTTGCTGGATGCTTGAGGCTGAAGAAATTGGCTAGTATTCAGCTGTGAAGAGCTATAAATGCATGTGCTGCAGGGAGATGGGTGACTCCTGATTGCAGCTCCATCAGTATTGTCACTGTTTACTTGAGATGTAGCTTTCGCCCGGCTGGCTCTGGCTGCATGGCATGTGGCAGAATACCTCTGCACTACTAAACATGAACTGTGACTGTTGATGTTAAGAGAGATGATGGCATTGGACTCGATGCCACTGGATGGATGTTGGGCTTGCTGATCCTTGTGGGTCCCTTCCAACTCACAACATTCTGTGTTTCTGTGATTAATGCTTATGCTGTGGACAAATATTAGATCTTTTTGGTGAGTGGTAGCAATATGCATGTCCTTGGCTCTCAGATGCAGTTATGAAAGTGTGCCATTCTTGCTTTGTTTTCTTAAAGTTTCATTCGTATCAGTTTCTCTTGGCTTATTGACAGCTCCAGACAACAGTTAGCAATTTCCAAAGACGTTAGAGGAAGATAGTGTCAAATGTTTGTGCTAAAACATGTATCTGTCATATGAGAAATGTAGAATTTATTTGCAGTAACAGGAGGTACACATTTTTTAAAGAATATTTCCTAATGTTTTCTGGTCTTTAAAATCAGAAATCCAGATCATAAGTCAGTCTGAAAGAAAATAAATTGTTGAGGGGAATTTTTGTCCTTTTCACCTGTATTCTGCTTTTTGAGTGATCTAACATTACGTTCTCATATGTTTCTGCTCTGTGTTGAGGGCTAGAAATGCCCTTTTAAAAATTTAAATCTAAGTTGCTCATATAATCATTAAAAATACAAAAGGTGGATCTTCAAACAAAAAACAAATATCCTAACTAAATAGGGGATTTGGCAACTTGGCATTTAGCTCTTTTCATAATGCCTGAGTGAGTTTCATGGTGACTGACTATGAATGATGAGCAGCTCTGATGCTGAAGGGATTGATTTTCTTTTCCTTATTCCCTACCTTGTTCCTCATAACTTCTCGTTTGTGCCAGCCTTTTCTGTATATCCTTACTTTCTCATCTGTTTTTATCACCTGCTCTCCTTCGGCTGCTGTTGTGCTCTGCTTTCTCCCTGCTTTTGTCCTTCAGCTTTGTTGGAACAAAATAATACCCTTGTTTTTCAGTTTGTGCAGTCATGGTATAAACTGCTATATTTTTATTTAAGGATTATTATAATTTTGTGAATTTGATGGAAATGTATGAAACTAGTATAGGAATATGATTTTTACTTCCAGAAGAGAAGAAAAAGAAACAAAACAAATTAAAACATTTTAATTTGCTTTTGAATTTTTTTTTTTAATATGTACAGAGAGATATGTATTGATCAAATAGCAAGTTATCAGTTACTTTAATTGACATTAGGGCTTCTGGCACCTCAAAACTTAGGTTTTGAGCCAGATGAATGGAATTTGGAAAAAGTTGGAGTCTGCCTTTAGTATCTTGAAGCAGGTGGAAATACATCTCAGTATTGGCACTAGAATACTGTGATCTTTATGTACATTTCTGTTCTTCGCAAAAACATTTGTATTCAGAGGCTTTAGAGGAATTTTCCTTTAAATTATAAGCTATTTTAATGTGGTTTAATATATTTTAGAGATTGAGAAAAACAAAGCCTGGTTTCACTTAACCCTTCATTTGTGACCTGTAGGCTTAAGTGGAAAATAAGCCTTGTACCCAAAGTGAACTTTCCTGTTTTTCAGCTTCTTGTTTCTCCACAAAACAAAGAAATCAAGTGGGTAGAATTTAGAAATGACATACAGACAATGTTTTGGCTCCAATACCAGTATTCAAAACAAGAGGCCTGCTTAAGCAGTTTGACATTGGTATTTCTTTTCTTTAGCTAAACTGTACCTCCCTCAGAGATTTGTACCTGATTTTGACCATACTGAAAAGACACTCCACCTGAACCTGCAAATCCCAATCAACAAGAACAGATTGTTAGCTTTCCTCCTCATTGTGTGACACCTCACAATAATTAGTTAGCAATTAGTGGCTTAAAATTGCAAAAGAAGGTTTGCTATGGGATTATTTTTTAAAAAACCCTTTATTCTAGCCTTGTCTTTTTTTAATGTTTTCAGCCCCTGCTGTAATGTCTAATGTCAGAGTTTAATCTACTGCAGTGCCTTAAACCGAGGCTCTTGCTCTTTTTACTAGAGCAGTTGCAAGATTGTGACTACACCAATATTTAAAACCCTAATGCAGATAAGACTTTTGCTACTATTAAATACGTGGATATCCAGACCTGCAGCTTAATGCAGTTTTTATGCTAAGTGGAACTTTCTATAGAAAAAGATTGTGTTTAATCAAGGAATTAAAGTTTCTTTGAAAAGCAACCTGTTTTATTTCTTCTCTTAGCTTTTATGGTATTTAATCTGACGTTTTCAGTATGTGACAATGATTTTCTTATTTGTTTTTCTCCTAATTAAATTAGCCTAATAAATGACATTATTTTAATATTACTTTAGAGAAATCCCCATTCTGCTTTGTCTGCCATTTAAAAATACCTTGCAGTGAAATGGTGCACAGAAAGATTTACAAAATGCCATTTTTTCAGACTCAGAAGAGTGATAAAAAGTTTAATAAAAATGTTTAATTTAAGTCGTGCATACATTGAAATTTAAAATATATATTCACACCTATTTGTTTAAAAATAACCTTATGGGTTCATAACCATAACCAAAAATGTTCTATCTGCTGCTTTATTCTACTTTTCAAAATGATGTTCCTAGTTATGGATGGAAGCTCAGAATAGGATTAGTTCTACACTGTTAGTAGTTGATAATCAAGATGTAGCTAGTGATTTTCATTCGCATCTTAGACACTTAGTCCATCTAACTCACTTTAATAACTGGAGCGGAGAGTTCCGTGAGGCGACTTCTGTTAGTGCTCAGACACAACAGAAATCCTTGTCTGGTTTTTAAAAAAGGGTTAATGAGCTATGAAGGCTGGTGGAATGGTAACTGGGCACAAAGATGAACAGGAATGTCAGAGGGAAAAGTAGCCTCAGGCCTAGCTAGAGAGAAAGTATCACCTGCTTTCCACCTCACATGCCTTCAATAGTAAAGGACGATGTGTGTCTACAAAAAGAGGAATATTAAAAGAGAGACATAATTCTTTTATTCATATTTTAAAGTCTTTCCATTTGAATTAAGAAGCCAAATATTCTCTTTTTTGGCAATGCCAGTTTAAATAGAAGGCTTATTTTTAAGGGCGAAGTTCATCAGAATAGCATAATGCAATTTTTCTTTCCCATCTATAAGGGCTATTTTTTTTTTTATATGCTAAAAAACTTACTCTTAACGTATGTGAGTTCAAGAATAGATGTATCGAATGCTCTATGGAGTTTTGTTTCTAAATGCTGCTTTCCAAAATTCTTTTTCTGGTTAGCCTTACTTAGGTTTTGGCATTTTCAAGAAGGTAAACAAGCTGCCAAATCACCATTCTTTTCCAACTCTTTGCTACTGACATATTTTGCCTTTTAACCAGTAGTTACAGAAAAATGTTTGAAAGTTCAGAGATCATGTTGAAACACCTATTAATTTGATTGAGAGGTGGAAAAAGAAACTAGGGACTGCACCTCTTGGTTTTTGACTTTGAGTTGTCATCAGGTTTAGAATTTTAACTTATTTTAAGTAAAATATGGGTTGTCACTTCTGCAGTTCTATTTAAAATATAATTCCTAACAAACTAACATTGTTAATGGAGAGTGTCATGAGATAATATAACATGTTCTTTCAAACTCGTACTTCTGTGCGCTTGGATATACTTGGCATTATAAATGAGAAACTCTATATCAAATGTATGTCTTGGGCTTTCTTTTTGATTTTTCAGATTGAAAATATATAAAACTCAAAAAAAAAAAAAATCAAAACAAGACAAACATCTGTAATACATTTGGTAACCACAACGCTGAACATGCTTTTTGAGTTTATTAACTCAGTAAGGAATAAGTTGTTATGGTAATTTCTGTAGAGAAGTTAAAGTGTGTTATGTATTAATAACAAACAATAGATTTGTTCACTCTGCATGGGTGGGCCAAACTGAAAGCATAATTAAAGCATGGTCTGATGGAGAATCAAGGGGTAGTTTTAAACATAATTGCCATTTGCAAATAAAACATTAACGGTGATTTGCTTTAGAGTCACTAGGTATTCCCAGCACCAAATTATTTCACTTATGACTAGTGAGATTTTATTTTGAGTAACAATAGCATTATCATGCCCCTAGTTGATCGTAAAACTTTTAAAGAGTTGTAAAATCTGGACAAGTTTTAGGTGAAATGGATTTGCCCTTCTGCACAGAGGGCAGAGAGGCCATACCAGGGATGCACAAGGTCCTGCTGCAGAATCGCGGTATAAGTCAAATTAAAATACTATTTTTGAGTGTTACTGGCAAGTGTTATAGTTCAGGATTAGAAAGTTACTGAAGTTATACTGAACAAGTTGATGTTGCATTTATTATGTCAAATAATCTGTCTTGAAAAGCAATTCAAGTTTCAATTCTGGTATGTATGGTTGGCATGATATTGATGGTGCACTTGCTTAATTTCTTCTTTAAGGATCCACCCACCTCTGTGTCTCTTGGACTCCGAATGGAAGAGATGATTTTCAATTTGGCGGACACGCATCTTTTCTTTAACGATTTAGAAGTAAGTGTTCATTCCTTGAAAACACGTAGACGCGATTTAATATTTGTCTCTTTTTACATGTTATTAGATGGTTTGACAATTGGTTTTGGTTTCACAGTTTTAATATGGAAATGTTTAGAAAAGACCTGTATAATTTAGTCATGAGAATATATAATAATATTTGCACTCAATGTCTGCACTGTCATTCAACGGTTACGATACTTTAAATGGTAGGGTTTTGTCCTCACAAGTCTTAGTATTTTTGACACAGTAGACAAGTTTTAGAAGTGGATACACCAGAAGCATCTATAAACATTAGAATTCAGTAGTCTGCACAGGCCATTAAATATTAAACTTCAGCTTCTATAAAAAGTTAATGACTGGGTACAGATTTCTCACATGCCACTGTGGGCAAGTATTACCTTAAACCTGAAGGAAATCATTACTGTTGTCTATGCTGTCTGTCTCAGTGGCCTGTTACTGGGGATCCTCTGCCTTCCCTGATGGCAAGTATGATTTTCAAGGCACTATTTCTCTGCCTCTCCCCTGCAGCCTGCGGTGAGGAGCTGGTGTTGGCGTGCCAGGGGCTTTTTCAGCCAGTGTAGGCTATGGTTTGGCGACGCTTGTGAGATTGTTCTAAAACTATCCGAACTGCTGAAAGAGACTGTCACCATAATGCCTGGCTGTTTCATCTTAAAAGGGAAAAAAGCAATTTCTGATCATATTTTAATAACATGAAAACATGAAAACAGTCAGATTTCTTTCCCATCATAATGAAGACAGCTGTTTATTTAAAATCCAACTGTTAAGCAAGCTTGTGGTGGGGCTGCCAACACACATTAATCATCAAGTTGTTGTTTTGCTAGATTTTAGAATAGTGTGTTATTCCAGACAAGCAAAAGAATCTAAAAGATTCAAATGCAACTTTTGCTGATCAAAGTTAATTGGCAGCAATTGGCCTTTAAATATTTCCTGATGTTTCCCTTTTCAAAATCAAGCAAAATACACCTTATTTAATAGATGAGCCAAAATAATTTGAAAAATGCCAGTGTGTGATAGACCTCAAATGTGGTTTGCCCAACATCTGTCCTGTATTTTGATTTCTTTTCATCTAAAAAGAAACCACTCACAGATGATTTGGCATCTTAGAATGTAATGAAATTATTTAAATGGGCTTTATTTTTTTTTCTTCCATTCTTTAGTAGAGTATTTGTTTTTTATACTTGCATTAAAATAGATTATTTATTTAAATTTTAAAGTAGTGTTTTCTTTCATTAAGGTAGCTGTATGTAAAGATGTGATTGTTTTGGTTACAAGAAATACTATTAGTGAGTTGCATGTATAAGACTGATTTTTCAGATTTGTAGAAAAGTGTAACAATGCTAGTTATTTTCCAAATCTGTTTCTGATTTCTGGTTATGTTTCATTTCATCCAGAGCAGAAAGAGAAAGTACTACTGTATCTTACCAACATATTCAACAAAGTTTGGTGTGTTTTTATTTGCTGTGCATAGCTAGATACTTAGTAGACTTGTAGCTACTTCTTCATATGATTGTCAGTGTCACTCACTTTAATGGAAGCTAATCAACTGCATCTTAGGGATAGTAGATTATCTTCTGATAATTGGCATGTTACAGCCTTAACAGTACAGCACAGCAGTTTATTCACTTAACTTTGAAGGTGTGTGTGGAAAAAAATACTGATCCGGATGGTGCACAGTAGCAGAGGAGGTCACTGGATGAGCTTGTTTCTTTGCATTTCCCCCATAACAAGCCAGTTTTTCTTGCATCTCCAAACTCAAGTGTAATAGTCTGTGCCTATACCCCAAGTCTGTCTTCTTCATAGACAGAGGCACATAGGAGTGAGCAGTTGTGTTCATGTCCTTGTCCATGAGCTCCAAGTCCTTATTTCTGAGGAACATGAGTTCTGATCTGAAAGGTCATGGCCTGTCCAAGGGAGAGAAGAGCATGTTCAGTGGTGCAGAGAAATGGGTTTGTGGTTGTGGATTGCTGTAGAGAAGTCTTCAGAGGAGTACGCTGAGAGCAGGCATAAAAGAGCCTGTACTTTGTGGGAGGCCACACATAAGGACTAGACCTGGCCACAGGCTGAGGCTTTCCATTCACCAGAAATTTCAGGTTTTTTGAAACATGTTGCAGACGTGGTGTTTTCGAAGGAACGTGTCCTCCTAGAGCCGCACTTTGTCATTCTTGTGAGTGTCACCATTATTAACAGGGCCTGCCTGGTTCCCAAGGCCTGTGACCTTGGGACAGATTCCTCGCATCCATCTCAGAAACTCAAAGTCCTTGCTTGGTGGTTTGGAAGTTGAGACTACCCTACAGCTTGACAGACTTCCATGAAAACTGCAGGCAACTTGGCTTGGCTGTGCCTCAGGCTCAGAGCATCTGCTTTTGCTGATGAAGGACTGAGTCTGGAAGATCTGGTGGTGACCCTGCTCAGGTCTAAGCTTTCCAGTTCATGTGCATAAGCATCTGGGCTGTTAGGAATTGAGAAGTTTGTAGGCAACGTTGCCAGCGAGCCGCAGAGCTTGGACATCCTTGCCCAGAAATAGTAAGAAGACAGGCAAAGCTGGATTTGGAACACGCCTAACCCACAGTGTAGACATGTCTTTGGGTCTAGGCATAATTCAAAGCGAGAACCTGAAAGCTGATGCTCACTGGCTCACCGAGGCTCAGAGGGAACCCTTCCTGGCATACAGAGAAGCTGGGTTTACGGGCAGGCAATCATCTGTCATAACTTTGGCCTATGATGCACATTTTTCCAGATACCACAAGTTAATATTTTTTAATAAAAATCTTCTTTTCATCCGACGCATTCCAGAAAGCTCTAATCAGAACAACTCTCTTGTTATCCAAGTTAAGGAGAAACTATTTTGTCTTTTTATAAAATGCTGAAGACGGATTTAACTTTTTGAATGCAAAGGGCAGAGTTGCAGCAGTGACTTCCGAAGCACTGCTTGATTTGTATATGACCTAACTGGCTTTTCATAGCTCAACCTGGAGATTTATTTAACGTTATTAGGTTAAATTCTAAACTTCAGAAATAATTTTTGAGTCTGTATAAAGTGAATCAATGCCAATGTGGATTGTTTGCAAACTAGTTTGCCCATCCTAATTTAGTAGGGCATAGAGACAGGTAAATGAATCATCTCATTTCCTGTATGTTGCTCTTTATGCAGTAGTCGTAATAATAATAGTAATGGCATTTGTAATTGGCATTTTTCAAACTCAATTAAAAAATTCTGTCAGATCTCACCATCTAGCTCTTAATGCAGTATTCTGTTAATGAATGGATGAGCTGCACATAGATTTACAATTAGTTACTGCACCCTCAGTTTGTACTAGTCCTTATTTTATTGCTTTGAGAAAAAGTAAAAGATGGCTTATTTCCTTCACTTTGCACAAATTTATTTGGATTCCAAATCAATATAATAGCAAATAATTTCAGATCTTGAAGAAACTTTTCTTAAACAGCATATTAAAGGTATATAACAAGGTTTTTAACATACTGAAAAGAAAATATTAAAGTTTACTAATGTGAAACTTGATCTAAGTACCATTATAAACAAAACTTTTTTGCATTAATAGTAATTTCATAATGACATTATAAAAGTATACTAGGCCAAACAGTAGAAAATAGTGTGATGTTCTTAAAATTTAGATTCCAAAATCTGCATTCGGACTTGAAAACAGGAAGTTTAGGTTTTCGGTATTAATAATTTTCATTTAAATATCTCATAGTTTGTTCTGTAGTAGAGTTTTAATTGTGTGCAGGAGGGAATAACTACATTGATGTATTTCTCTCAAGAGAACCAGAATTTTCTCATCAGAAGAGAATGTGTGATTTTACATGCTGATTGTGTTCTGATAGGGATAATAAGGTGCTGTATTTTAATGGTGTATATATGGAGCTATTACACATATTAGGTATTTTATGGTGTGTGGTCTAGTGTTTTAGGGAAATTAGCAACTAACTTGATGATAGGACTGAAATGTGACATGTACCTATTTACATCTTTAAAGATTGTATATATGTACATATTTATACTGACCCTCTTAAGACTTTTATTCATTTCTTTGGCATATCAGGTGCATAATATAACTAGGTATGTTAAAGGAATAATTGCTGGTAGTGAATAATTATGAACATCTTGTTTTAAAAAATTAGTTCAGTGCTCTGCAAACTATTTTGAAATGGTACCATCTCATTAGATCTGTTCTTTTAGAGATATTTACTGAAGTCACCTGTGAAGCTTTTTTTTTTTAATCTTACTTAGCACTTTTTAATGAATACGATACTTTTTTTTGTCTGTGTTGAATTCTATTGAAGTAATTAAAATAAAATTAATTTTTAGTTTTATTTCATTATTTTTTTATTTTTGACCTTTTATTTCTGTTTGTTCATTTAAGGTTTGGTGTGGGCTTTTGGGGGCGGGTTCAAAATAAGGTTATACACATTATGATACTATAAAAAAAATTACTATAACACCTCTGAGAAATGCAAGAAATGCACAGTAATGATGATTAGCATTCATTTTTCTTCCATTAGTGAAGGATATATAGTGTACACTCACGGGTTCACAATTCACTTTTGTTTGTGGAATCTCTGTATGCAAAGTGATGATGTGTATATGGGAGTCATTTGCAACGAATGGCAGTATGGTATGAGTTTTTCAGTTACATTAGTTGATGTATTTTCTTACCAGTAAAAGAGGAGGGAATGTTATAGGTATTACTGTAAAGCAGTAACTATGATTCTTTGGGAGGAGAAAAAAAAGAAAAATTGTTATGTTCTAGCAATTAGGAATGCTGACCTGGTTAATTTATCTTCAATTTCTTACTATAAATCCACCTGGATGTATATTAATGTGTTCCTGATGAAAATTCAGAGCATGGTCTCTTTTGTGTGTCAAAAAGAGCTGCATAAGTGCTTTATTATTGCAAGTATGGTGTTACTTCAGATTAATTAACCTTTAAGGCATCACATTAGCATATCACTATGCA